CACACAACACACCTTATTGGCTTGTGACTGACGGGCTTGTTTTGAAATGTGATCGTTGGCCTGTTGTGTCCTGACACACATTTACATCCCTAGTTTTGCAATCCCTCCTGTTTACTGCAGCAGCAACACACACACACACACACACACACACAGAGCCAAAGGAATGCATGTAAACAAATGTACATGAATGCATGAGGTGCTTGCTTATTTAGCAGTGTTGCTGGAAGATAAACAGGAAATCCTATAGCTACACAGATTAAAGAACATGATAAAAAGTGGAGATATACAGTGATGGAACTGAACATATTGAAAGTCGTGTTGTTTTGTAAAAGCCATGTCTAGTAATATGTTAGTGGAAAATAATCCCAGCCAGACAGTCCTCACTATCAGCAGCAAAACATTTATCATCCTACACCAAATATTAGTTGGAAAGGACTTTATTACAAGCTAAAGTAATTTCACAGGGCCCAGAGGTTTCACTGGGGTTCACTACTGCTCTGTGGCAGGACTGTAATCTGTGACTAACATACATTCTTATTGTGTAGCAAAACTTAAATCACGGGAGTAGACAGGCTAAGGCCCTATCTACAAGTATACAGATGTTATTATGCTTCCGCGCCAGTGACAGCTGTGGCTTAAGAACGTCTTAAGAATACCTTGAAGGAAGTTCTTTACTTTGGCATAAACGTTCACTAAGAATCAAGGATGAACTGACTAGATTTTGGTGGTCAAAATTCAAAGGTCAAGGTCACTGTGACCACATCTATCTCATTCTTGTGAGCATGATGTCTCAAGAAAACCATGAAGGGATTTCCTCAAATTTGGCACAAACGTCCACTTGGACTCAAGAATGAATTGTATGGAATTTGGTGGTTGGGTGTCAGTAGTCAAGGTCACTGTAACCTTCCAAAACATGTTTTGGGCTATAACTCAAGAATTAATAAACTAATAATGGCAACATTTCACACAATGTCTAAAGGGATGAAATTATGACGTGATGACGTTATTTATTCAAAAGGTCAAAGGTCAACTTCCCTGTAACATCATAATGTTTGGCAAAAACACTTTTCTGGCCATTACTTAGTATCATATCTCTGGAACAGAAGGGGAGACATTTGGTCAGATATTGAACTGGTGACACCTTGAAACTGTGCTGACTGTATAGATCCTCTGAGCCGCTGTTGAGAAGATGTGTGTTAGGCATCCATGTTGTCATGAGACATGGATGTAAACTGAAAGTGCACCTCGACTAATTTGTCAAGGCATACAACTGAGAGGCAGTAATTCTAGTAGAAAAAAATGCAAAGTTAATAACAGTGCCTTCATGTAGAGGCTCTGGCTTAGGGGCCCCCTGACTCTGGGCCCGGTAGGCCCATTTGGTATTACACCCATGTTTCTGGCAGACTTTAAACCGTGGAAGCTGAGGTGGAACAAAAACAAAAATATTGGGTGCAACAGATGCCTCCGTTCACCCATGAGTGGTGTAACAATACTAGGTTTAAATGTAATGTACCAAGCAGTTCTAAAAACAAGTAGGCTAAGCAAACTGCTAGTCGCTGTTGTTGTTTCTGGCACATGCTCATTAAAACAAAGCACCTGTGGACGTGCACAAATTGAGGAGATGACGTCATTGTTTTTGGAACACTCTGTTTTAAATGTCCACACTGATAAACAGATACTGGAGTTTAGAAAAATCTGCACGTTAGAAGGCGTTTTAAAAAAATCTGCATTTTAGTGACCTTAAACTCTGTTTATATGTGGACAATAGGCTAAAATGTAGTGTAAAGTATCCGTTTTCAAAAATATTCCGTACATGTAGACAAGGCTTAACTGTCACTGGTCAAATAGTCTTATCTGATAAGCGGATATTCTCAGAAGAGGATGTGCAACTTTTTGTACATGTAATGTACAAAAAATTTAGCTCATATAGTAATAGTATGGTATCTGAGAATGTTGTCAGATTTTAAAACACACCTCTGTATTGATTCTGTGGCATATTTTTATGTTTTTAAATATGCAGAAGAAAATAAGTGAGTGAGAGCCCATCAAACATGATTCATACTTATATTGACTTTCTTAAAGTTATTCATACAGGCATGGTGTAGAGGTTATCACGTCTGCTTTACACGCAGAAGGTCTTGGGTTCAAAACCCATTGGAACCAGTACTTTATCTGCTGGTTGCAGATTCTCTCTCTGTAGTACTACCCTGAGGAAGTCAGTTGTGTCACATTTGCTGAAAGCCAGACATCACCAGACCAAATCTAAGTGAGTTAAGCCCCATTTCCACCAAACACTTTCTGTATGGTATCTCTGGAATCAGAAGTACCCTTCAGACATGGTACCTATACCCTGGTGTTTTCAGTGCAAACAGCACCTTTAAATGTGGGCGGGGTTATTGTCACTCACTGCTCCGTCCAGCACTCACTGTATTTCCTCAGTCTGCACCTCGAGAACGAGGCTGCATGCTGACATTTTCAGAACAAAATAGAACAGGCTGCAGTGAGAGTCACTCTCCATGGGATATTCAAAATTAGTGGGTTTGTGCACCAAGTCGTTCTCAGGCAAGCTCAGGGGTTTAATGTTGCCGTAGCTCAAAGCTACGTGACCCTTTTTTTTCTCTTGAGTATTAGAATATAAGCAGTTCCCATAACCCGGCTGAAATTAATACATATAAATGCTTGAAGATCCACTCATTACTAAAAGTGTATGTCATATAAAAACTAAAGTAATGGTCAAAGTTGTCATATGGAATATTTAAGGTGTGTTGATTGATTCATGTTGTTAACTCTTGTATTGAGTAACATTACAAGTAGGTTCCACCTTAAAACTTTCTGGCAGTCGACCCAATAAATTAAGTTATTTTTTTCTCCAACTCTGGCTGCTGTGAGAGGCAGCAAAACATCCTTATATTTTATAGTTACAGTTTACTAATTAAACTCTCCATGATATGAACAGTGGCATCTGCGTCAAAACCAGCCACAACTCAGACCTGTGCAGAGTAACCGTCTGCTATTGACCAATCAACAGACCGTAGTGTTCACAGCTCCACCTTTTAGTACCAGATCTGTGTGCTAGGTACCCCATTAGAGGTGTGACCAAAAATGGTAACGGTACAGAACGGTTCCATTGGTACCATCCACAACTGTTCACAGTGGAAACAGAAAAAAAGCGTCCTATACTGAACCCTACCGTACAGTACCGTACTGCTCGGTGGAAACGGGACAGATTTGAGGTTGCTGTAGATCTGTCTAAAGTGGAAGGGAACCAGACGCATCTGCCAGAGCAAATAAAACATGAGCTGGCAGATTTTTCTGCTTCCCTGGCAAAGGACAGCATGCTATGTAAAACCATTAAAGAAAATGATCATTTTATAGCATATTTAATATTGTGCCTGAAAAATTGAGGTTCATTAAAGTGAAACCTGTGAAGAAGTTAAGATAGTCAACTAAAGTCTCCCGCTGCGGTCACATTAAATACTCTTCTCATTGCCATATAAATTCAACGCAGCCTTTAAAGTATAGTGCTGACGTTAAGTTTTCCATGTCCCCCTCTGTTTTTCCAGTTGGTATAGCTGTAGCTTGAACAGCTATATATGACTCACCCAACAGACCTACACATCAGTCCACGATCAGTCCCCTTCGCCCCTTGGCCCGACTAAAGCCCCATCTAAAATGCTACATTAGGACTATCATGGGGAATGACCAGGTCACAGCCTGTGCACCAAATAACAACTCATTCACATATTATCTGTTCCATGTGAGGTGGCAGGCCAAAATGAAGGTTCTATGGTGTAGTGGTTATCACATCTGCTTTACACGCAGAAGGTCCTGGGTTCAAAACCCAGTGGAACCAGAACCTTATGTCTGCTGGTTGCAGAGTCTATCTCAGGAGTAATCCTTAGAGGAAGTCTGCTGGGTCATACTTGCCTGAAGTCATCATTATGAGGAAAAAAAAGAATTGCATAGCATGTTGTAACGGTAGTTCTTTTAATAATTTTGCATAGTCTAAAGTACTTTTGAGGAGATTTCAAAATATTGTGATATATAGATTGTGTATCGCAATATAGCCTAAATATATCGCAATATTAAGTTTAAACCATATCACCCAGCCCTGATTCAGACTTGGACTCTCAGTTGCACTCTGGTAGTGAAGTAAGGGATATGTGCACAGACTTGACCCATTTATGTTCAAAGCTACATACATGTCCTAGCTGGTCAGCTGTTGAGGGTGTCTGGGTTTGTCTGTAAGCCCCCAGCCAGGTCAGGAGAATGTTAAAGCTATTCTGAGCCTGGCTGTCTGTCTCTGGGTAAAACAGGAGCCTTTATGTTCTGTACATGCAGGCTGGTAGTATAGAAGGCAGTACTACAATATACTACTCCTTTGGTTAGCATGGTGAGGCCTTAACTGCTTCACTTTTATGTCTGGTAAATCTCTGTGCCATTCTTATGGTGGTCATAAAGGTAAAATAGTCAAGAATGAAAAATGCTTATTCCATGTTGTAACCTTATGTACCTGGGCATATCTTCCTACTAACTAACAGCATATACCAAATACATTTCCAAAAGGTGCATTTAACATATTTTTTTATATGAAAATTGAACATTTTCTCCTTTCTTTAAGTATAACTATAGGATCAGGGATGTATATGAAAAAAACACCACTTAAATGTGATCATAGATTTTGGATTGACCAAGTCTAAGTAGTTTTAATTGAGTCTCAGTTAATTCCAACACATGTCCCATGAGGCTTACCCACTGGCATGCTGCATGGGAGCTGTACAGTGGTGGGGACTGCAGCCCTCACAAAACGAATACTCATATAAAAGTATTATTACTTTCTAATTATATTTACTCAAGTAGAAATAAAAGTACTCACAAAAACAATTACTTGAGCAAGGGTGAAAAAGGGTCTCGTAAAAAACTACTCCAGTAGTTAGTATGTTCATGAGATACAATGTATTACCTCTTAGATCGTTCTTCCTTTCTGTTTCTTCAACCAGGAAGATCTGCATCAGTACAGTGGCACTCTGGAGGAGAGAGGAGAGGAAGAGATCGAGGAACACCTAAATGGGAGGACAGAGGGAAGAGGAAGACCAGGAGGATTCTACAGCTATGCTAACAACAGAGAGCTAATTCAGAATGAAGTAGACCAGGTAGACATCATATTTATTATCATTTCATCATGATAATAAAATGCTACAGTATTTTTTATGTGCTTTCTCCTATGAAATTTATTTTAAAAAAAGTAGGCAGAAACATTGCATACTTAAAATATTTCAAAACTACTGGGTGATGCCTTTATATTTGTTATAGTTTGTAGTGGGTAAAACAATCTCACAGGGCTGACAGTGTGGCCACGGCCTTTAGGTGGCCTAGTAAACCTTGAATTTAAAAAAAAAAAAATCTCACAAAGCATCATTAAAGGAATAGTTTGCTATTTTGGAAAACATGCATGTGTGTATGGTACAAGTGTAGATAAAGCTAACAGCCAGTTAGCTTAGCATAAAGACTGGAAACAGAGCTGATTCTATCCAAAGGTAAAGAAATAAAAATAAAAAAAAGAATCAAACCACCAGAAACTCTCAACTCTTGGTAGGAACCAGCTGCCAGGCAACTAATAGAGACTCCAGGAAGTTACTGGAACTGCTCAGCATTTCCCAAAATTTTAAATTGCTTAAAGCTCTTTCAAAGAAAGGTTGTACAAGGTGTCATTTGGCCCCATCTAAATGGCACATAACACAGTGCAACTGTCATTTCTAATTTCAGACCAACATAGTTATCATTTTCACAGCAAGCCCCCACATTGTGTAATTAGCAAATCTACTTGCCCACCTGTGTGCCCATTGGATTAGGTCTGATACCAGAATGGTGCAGTATTTTCCTGCTATTTTATGGGCGCATTTTATAGATAGTAAGATGCACCAGCATAGGTGGGTTCACAATAGGAGTACACTCTACTTGTTACATACACAGGGATGCATGGATGGGTTGGGGGTGGGTTAAATAATATATCATTAATGAGGAAAATATTAAATACATTATTTAAAATGTGAACATAGCAGAGAGCATACGAGGAGCAGTCTAACTTCACTGATTATTTTAGAAGCTAAAAGTTTAGTTCTGTTTCCTCTGTAAAGTTTATAACTACAGTCTTTAGTTTTGCTGCCTAAATGTCCCATGATATTTTGGTGTAGTGACATTATTGTTCTTACTGCATTTGCCAAAACCGCCATTTCTATAGCAGTGTGCCAGATGCAGGACACCTGACCTTTTAAAGGGAAGGGAGATGGCCCTCTTTTTGGCTGAATTTATGGTATGCCCAGAACACACCTCTGATTATTTACAGGACTAAATACAACCTCTTTGTCCTTTTGTGCCACACTTTGCGCCCAGATTATACACCCTTTAACTAGCAAAGTGGAGCTGGACGTGCTTTAAATGCACTTGCACCATGCGCTTAAGACCATGAGCAATCGATCATTTTAATATGGCCCTGTGTCTCAAGTGTGTCTTTATACTGTCAACGCAGTGAATCTCATAAGTAGTGATAAGAGCGCAAAATTTCCAACACTTTCTCCTTAAAGACATTTGTAAGGTGCACTCAGGTATATACACAAAAGGTGACTGAAGTGGTTGTTTTAAGAATAAAGAAACCAGAACTTGAAAGAGAAGTTCAAACCCTGATTACTTTCAAATCTCGGTGCACTGGGCCAATCGTGGCATAAAGTTGGGTGTGATTATCTTAAAGTTACAAAAATTGCGAGGCAGGCCCTTATCAATTCCAAGTTTGAAAGGGGATTTACAACACTCTTGGTTCAAGCATACTCTGGCCTTAAGCGTTGTAGACAGAAATGTTGTGAATATTACTGGATGTTAGTCATCCATGAGCAAGAGCAAGAATGCAAAATTGACAAAGTGACTAAGTTAGTTAATGGTTAAGTTTAGCAAAGTATGGTTAAGGCTATGCTATGAGAATGCAAGGATAAGAACGGGATCGGCCATTACCCTCAATGAAAATTGCAGCAGGAAGTTAGTTACCATCAGCACTGTCACTTTAACTTAATGGACATATCTTATAATCCTGAACAGATGTGAACCATTGTGCACAATAAACACTGCAACAATTTGAGGAACATTATTAGTCCACCAGTCTGATGAAGTCTGTATTTTTGAATTCAGCTAAGCAGTAAATAATGACTGGCTGCATCTTTAGTGCAAATTCCTCAGGACCACCATTGGCCTTAACAGATCCTGTATCGCTTGAACGTGCTTGACATATATGCAATACGATAACTTGTGTAAGTGCAAGGTAAGGTGATCAGAGTGCCTGTCATGCTTGGAATCTGAACTGGATGCTTTATCATTAAACGCTGGATTGCTGCCAGCTCAGCAGAATAGAAAAGCATGGGAGACACACTTTAGCAGCTGCACCTCAAGGTGCCTGTTACATCAGAGGAGGTGTCCACTGTATCAGACATGGGTTGCTTATGTTTTAGTGCTGTGCCTAGTTTTTAGGGTTGATCTTAAGAAAAGTCTGCCAGAATCCACTTTCCCACTCAGCACTGCAGGTCAGAGGTGAGAAGTGTCTGACAGGATCCAGAGAATATGGAAAGACTTGACAGACATTTCTGAGAATTAAATTTAAGAATCTTCATGTCTAAAAGAGACAGAGTAAGATGCACACATGCTTATAGGTTAATTTTGCCAAGTCAAAACAATCTGTGTTTTCTCAGAAGTCTCACTCTGATGGTGCCACTAGTTAGTAAGACTGAGACTGTTTCATGTTAAAAGGAAATGCCAAAGAGCAGTGATTCTCTACGACCGGGCTGCAACCTTGTAAAGGTCCGCACAGTGTTGGCTGAAATCCAATAAAAATCGATCATCCATTCATGAACCCATGTTTTACTTACATTATCTACTCATTTTTTTCTTATGACAACTCATATAGACTAAAAGCATTTTTCTTAGGTTCCTGTCCAGTCAAAAATGTTTTTTGGTTATTGTTAATTGGATGTTTGAGCATCAGTGCTGAATGATATATACACATTCATCTGCTGAAAAAGGAGATTTTCTCCATGCTCATCTTAAATTACACAATTTATGCAAGTGTAATGTGGAAACTTGTAGCCTGCAGTGCACATACACTGAGAACCAACATTTTGGACAATCTGAGATTGTGATGATGCTGAGGAAAAGTTAAGGGATCGCCAAAGTCATAGACAGAAGACAGAAGTTTTTGATTAACCAAGCAACAGACGTGGCCATCCCTAGAGCCATTCCAGCATGGCTAATACATAACACACAGATATCAGTGGGATAGTCAACCAGCAGATCAAAACTGGCAGGAGATCAAACGTAGCTCAACTTCCTTGTGCTCTTTTCTCTTTAAACCCACTTTTCTCTTCCTCTGTCTCTCTTCCTTTCTTTTCAGACTTCTTCCTCCCTCCAGGAGTGTTTGAGACTGTTGGAGAACACCTTTCCCTTCACAGAAGAACAACAGGTATAGCCACATCTCTTCTCTTTAGTCTGTTCTGTCCTACTTGACCTCGAACAGTACTAAGCATTTTTCCTGATTTCCTGTGCCTCAGATACATGATGATGGTGGTAGGAGGGAAGACTTGGAGTGTCAGCCACTGAGCAGGGAGCCCCTGCTGTCCCATATCATCCCTAATGGTAACCCTTTGATAGACCTGGAGCTCCAATGGCAGGACCTGTTGGCAGTCATGGAGCCTGAGGTAACTGAGAGAATGAAAGTAGATGCATGTACAATAGGCAAAATAGAATAAAATGAAATCATGAGATGAGAAAGCCAAGATTCAGTAAATTTAGATACATTTTTCTATCCCTCCTTTCCAGAGCACAGATGTTGACATGATGACTCAATTTGAACACAACCAGAATTTAAGGACAACTGGGAACCTTCAAGGTGCTGGGTCTGAAGCTTTAAACCAAAATTGTAACAACTCTGACAACGGCATAACAGTGGCTGATCAGGAAGTCTTTCTAATGGAGAGTCCTCTGCAGAATGGTAATTCAATTCAGAAGTTGATGTTTGTTGTAAGAATTTGCGGACAGTATCCCTCCACTTCAAAAACTCCTCATGTTGAGCTTGACTGTTGATTCTTGACCTTGGAAACACCAGCTTGACAATAGAATGTGTCAACACAAGGCCCATTTACCCGTTTCCAAAGATTCAACCACATCCATTGGCATTCCTTGGTAGATAAAGTTGTTCTATTGTTACGGAGGGGATGGACATAACAACAACTAAACCATCTGTATGACAATTGAGCAACTCTATCTGCTGAGCTACCTCAAGATGAGGTTGAAGGCTTTGGAAAAAAGCAAGTTGGAACATATGTTGAGAATCTGTCATTAGAATCTCCTCAAAACATTTCCCAAATGTTCATGCTGACTACAAGTTCTTTTGAGGATGCAAATGAAAATATCGTTCTCATGACTTACAACTTTAAAACTGTTAAAGGTCCAGATAGTTGATTTCAAATGGTCATAAAACCATCACACGTTTGTTTTTTGTTTCTTGACTGTTAAATAAATGACTGCACCAAAGACTCTGTTGCATATCCTACAACTCTCAACATTTTGAAAAAAATACCCATTCCTTGTCTCCAGGGTTGTTGGGGCCTCCAAGCCAGCCAGCGCCAGAATCAGCCCTACTTCCCCTCATCCCCAGTGCAGAGTTGGATGACCATAATTCAGCCTTGAACACAAGGGACACTTCGAAAAATTCTAATGTGAATCCTTCACACACACTTCCTGACAACACACAACTGCTTGAAGAAAATCCTTCAGAAGACTTCGGCATGGCATTAAATGCAGAGGATAACTCCAGTACCTTTAACATAAATATGCTGACACAAGGTCTTGTGGATACCATGGAGGGCAATCTGTGCACACAGTATGCTCCCTCCTTTGCAAACCGTCCAAGCTTAAATGTAAACTTTCATTCACTTGACATGGCACCTTCTAGTTTCAACCCATCATCGGAGGGAAATGGTATGGCTCAAGACCTTCTGACATCTCCCTCCAGTGTCTTTTTGGGTGATGAAGAGGATGATGTTGATGATGAGGATGGTCTCCCTAGCACACTTAGTGACCTCTTAGAGGATGTTACCATCTTGGATGAGATCAGATTGTTGGACCTGGCTCTGGAGGACGGATTCAGTCCTGAGATGGCAGCCAAGCTGGAAGAGGAGGGCTTCCTCAACAGTGAAGTAGCCCAGCAGGAAACTGGCAGAGATGATGACCATTCAGGATCTAGCGTGGCACTCACAGAAAATCAGGGTCAACTACGAAGACATCATCAGGGTAATTAAACAAGGAGGCAATAGACCTTCTTTTATAGTAACTATTTTTGACATAATGTGCACCTATGTATCTCCTTTTTCCAAGAACACACTAATGCTGAATTCAAGTACTGACTATAAAACTGTAGAACTTGTCTTGACATTTCCTTGTTTTCTCCTCTTAGACAGCAATGATGAGGCAGACTCAGACTCTGGTCTTTCTCTGGACTTCAGCCACAGCCCTGCTTCTCCATGTGCCTCTGAGGCCTCCTCTTATTCCTCTTCCTCAACCTCCTCTTCGTCTTGTGTGTCGGCTTTGGGAAGTCCTTTTTCTGAAGCTGAAGATGAAGCTGAGGATAAAGCCGAGGAAGGGTTTCTTGGTGCAGATATGGAAGTGGAGGTGACCATAAAGCAAGAGGAGCTGGAAGAGGAGGAGATGGGGGCAGTAGGAGGAGAGTACCCTGAAGATGTTAAGAAACCCTTCTTTCCCAACCGTGGGGATCACAAGCTGTATAATGGCTTTCCTTGGCTGGAGTATATCGGCCACGATCACACATACAACCAGCCCGTGTCATCCGTCTCCTCTCCATACCTGGGCAAGATGCCAAACAAACAGCCAAAAACTTCCTTGCGACATGACAGTGCCAAGCCTTACCACCGCTCCTCATCGAGACGAATCTCCGAGACCATGATGTGGAGTCGGGATGAACAGCGTGCACAAGCCAGGAAGATCCCTTTTTCCAATGAGCTGATAGTTAATCTGCCAGTGGATGAGTTTAATGACCTACTGGCCAGTTACCAACTCAGTGAAGAGCAGCTTACACTCATTAGGGACATACGACGCCGTGGGAAGAACAAAATAGCTGCCCAGAACTGCAGGAAGAGGAAACTTGACGTGCTGCTGGATTTGGAAGACAGTGTGTCGGGTTTGAGGCGCCACCGTTCACGGCTGCTCCGAGAAAAACAGGAGGCCCTGAGGAACCTGCAGGAAATGAAGCGACGACTGGGTATGTTGTACCAGGATGTCTTTTCCAGGCTAAGGGACGAGGAGGGGAGGCCTTTGAACGCTATGGAGTACCTGCTTCAGTTTGAATCCAATGGTGGCGTCACAGTAGCTTCACGCCAACAAACAACAGCGCTGCCATTGACAAAAAACAGCAAGAAACAGAAGGATAAGAAGAAGTGAGGAGGTGGTCGAGTCAGCCATATTCTGGCTTCAGGAGTTTGGGATGTTAGAAAATGTAGAGAGAGTAAAGAGATTCCTTAAGAGGAGTGTGATCCAACCACAAAATTACAGGAAATACTAATGTGGTGGTTAGTGAAGGATCACAGGAATTCTTTATCTGGTGTCAGTGGAAGGTGCTGAAAGGTACCATGAAATCCTCAAACACCCAAACAGATATCCCTGACAGTGATGTTTTTATTCACATAATTGGTGGATGACTGGATGGTCAAAGGAAATCCAGACAGAAAACAAGTTCTTTGAAAGAGGAGGGGAAATCACATGGTGATAAGAAAACTTACTCCAGGATTGTTCTCCATTCTTCATTCTTAACATTTTCTACACTGGAAAAGGACTTGAGTTCAACCACTATCAAGAACAAACAACTCTGAGGTAAATCTAGGCTACTGAATGCTGGATTAAAACAAGAGAGGATAGATGACTTGGGACCAGTGCTTTGAAATGCTAGTTCAATGCTTTCCCTTACATCAACTTTCTCAGAGACTTGAAAATATTGAGTTGAAAAAGCCAACAAACTGATTGCAGGCTGGATCCTGGCTATCAGCTAATATAGTTGAACAGTTAGACACTACAATGACTCTGGGCCACCGAGAAAGGGACGCTGGTACACAGGAAGGGAAGTTGTGATCATACCCCCTTGAGCTGGTAGGGTTAAGGTTAGAGTGGGCATTATCCCACTCAAAGACACCTCAGCAGGCTACAGACAGGAGCCATGGGGATCAAACCTGTGTTTGCAGAGTTCCCAGATGGTGCAGTAACCACAGGCTCTGCTGCCAATATTAACCATGCTATGCACCAAAACTCCATGACACTTGGTATCGTCTACAGCAGAGGCCTTTCAAATATCCAAGTATCAAGTATCCATTCTACCACTTGACTGACTTAGAAGATACCAATAACAATCTACAAACAGCAAAAACTTTTTGTCTACATAAGCTAAAATTTGGTGGATAGGGCACTTGGCTTTGCCTATTTTCACACCTGTACACACCTGGCCTGAAACTCACCAGGCAATCCAATACAACTGTCTACCCTCTATATGACTAACTGACCGAGGAATGATCCATAAGGGTGCCTGTCTTGATTTTTTTTTCCCCCTGTGAACTTTCTGAAAGTATGATAGCAAAGGGTTTTACCTGTGCCTTTTAACATGTATGTTTCTGTTTTTATGCATTTTCAACACACCTATGTGACTGTAAAACTGGAAATGTTATTGTCTACTTCAAACAACATGGTGGGAATCTGTGTTCCAAATGTTACTCAAGAGTAGGCCTGCCCAAGACATTAAGTCAAAATCTTTGCAGATTGTTAATACATGGGTAAAATACAAGTTGTGAAACTGTTTTAAAACTGACAGGTAAAAATGTGAGTCTGATGCCCCAATTACATATGAATGTACCTTCAATTGATACAGTAAAAAAATTACAGATTTGGCCTTGCAAGACAGATAACGCTGGATTCAAACAAACTCGAGGCTGAGTTGTGAATTGTTTCAAGTTAGGATGTCACCCTCTGGTGGTTGTGCATAGCCGAGTAAGAAAGAACTTCATAGCCATTCTGGTGAAATTATTGATACAAGGAATTAAACATAACAACAAGAATATATTTCCAAATTTTACCTGAATCTACAGTATTTTAGGTTGGAGTTGAGGGTTTTCTGTTCTAAAGTACTAGTTTTGATTAAAGTCATTCAGCTTATAATAAATGACTGTGTTATTGGTGAAGTAGATTTAGGATTTCTCAGGAATGAGCACAGCCAGAAGAACATGCTCACAGTTACTACTGAGTGGTCAGACATCTAACCAACCTTACAAATTTAATGTGTCTGATTCTTTTTGGCAAGAAATTGTAATTGTCAGAGCAGGTGTTCAGTGTTTCACATAGTGGACACCACATTTTGGAGTCAGACGACACTTCAATCCTGTCTGTCTTTCAGATTTATGAAGGCCAATAAAAACCTGCATGCCTATCACCACCACTGAAGCATTTATTTTTGTTTAAGTGTTTACATTTTGTGCTTTCTGGTATTCAAGGACATGGGACCTTGTCTTCTGTAATGTAAAATAAAAAACCTAAAAGAATTGCATTTATTTGGAGTCAGTTGAATTCCCTCTCTGGTGTCTACACAGAATAACAAATATCAGGACTATCAGCTGTCTTTGGAGCTTCCCGAGAAAAGCCCCAGATCAGAAACAAATCAGTGCTTTAGTACTAAATGTACCTAATAAATGGCTCGCTCACACATCACAGACGCTCCTGAGATATCTAGTGTGCTAAAAATCAGGACACGTTAGGGACGTTGACAATTTTAGTTGACATAAGCACAAAGCAACAGAGACAAGCTGTGTTGAGGTGCTTTCTTTTGTGTGTGTGTTTGACAAGGAGAGAGACCAAGAGAAAGTGAAAGGTGGACTATTGCACGAGATGTTTCTCTGAGTCATTAGCCTTATAACTTGGAATGTTGCTTTGTCACTTTCTGACTTCCATATTTTTGGTTGGGTCAACTTGTGCATCATATGACATACACATCGGGGATTGGGGATTGTGAAAGATCATGTAACGTGTGACCCCCTGTTGCTGGTCAGTCGTAGTCTGAAAACCATGACTTCAAGACTCCCGATTAGAGATCACGCTTTGTAGTGTTAATAGTGCAGCGATCCTTTAACTGAAGTTAAAATTACAAGGACTAGGAAAACCCCCTCCACACTGTCTATAGTTGTGTGAAGAAGAGGACAAACTGGATGGGATAGTTGGCTCCCAGTTCTGGCCTGTGGAATCAAGTGTTTCTAAAATTAGATTTTCTGTCTAAACAAACGAAATGCTCCATGCAGATATGACAATGCAGCCTGAGCAGTGAATTCTGGGAACTGTAGGAGGAACTGGCATAGTCAAAGGTTTGCTGTAAATGAAATGGGCCAACACTGGTTTTAGCCATCACACAGCTGGTAGTTACACATGTCCCATTGTGTGCCATTCAAACAAGAAAAAGGACTGACTGAAACACAAAAGTACAAACAGTTACGAAAACGAAAACCCTTTATTGTCCAAAACAAACAATTAAAAGTAGATTTGCCATGACTGTGACATTGCAAGGGAAACCAATAAACATGCAACAGGACAACACAAGCTAATCCGCTAAATACAGAGAAACATTTCAGGGACAATATAGAAAAGCTAACTAGCAGACCCAGGTGCAGCTAATTCAATCCCTTCCTGTGAATGGCAAAGTAAAACAGAAGGCAGTCAGGGTGCAGGACACTGTACTCATAACACTGATGTACACGGTGGGAAATAAGAACTCAAGGCCAAAAGTCCTTAAAAACAAGCTTCTTCAACTTGACTGAATACTATATTTAATGGTGTGAAAACAGTCAAATGGAAAGGGGCTGGCTTAGACCCAGCATAGAGATACTAACATACAGTAATACCAGCATTAGCACAGCTATTTTCAAATGCTAGAAACTATTTACAGCTGAACCAACTTTCTCTCTTCAAGGTCAGTTTTCTGATAAATCTCCAGCAGTAAAAGGCCACCCAAAGGAAACAGTTCAGAGATGGGGGACATGAACTAGCTATCCCAGGTCTGCTAACAGAGAAAGCTACTACGCTAGCTTTAATACAGTATACATAGAAAAAAAAAAAAAAGCACAGCCGGGCCACATTCAAAACATAAAACGCTGGGAAACATTAGGTAGCAGAGAAAGAACTCTCATATGAAGCGGTCATGTTAAATCATGCAGAATTCAAGATTTCTATCCTGTTTTGATTATGCAACTATCAAAACGTGTTAAACAGAGCACGGTCTGCAAGCACGAGGAACTGCGAAAAACTCAAGTCTTGAGTGTTGCCCGGCTGGTGCACACTAAAATAATAAAGCCTAGAAAACATATATAGCTGAGTGTGTGAAGGTTAAAAACAAAAGTGGAAATGGCGACGATATTGAACGTACTCTCAATCATCTCCACTATTAGCAGTAAAACCCAGGTGTGTTTGTTACAGAGTGTGTATCTACTGAGTGACAGAGCTGCGGTCTCATCAGGAAAACACCTACCAGCCAAAGCAGCAGAACAGTTAAAAGGCCAGTTTAAACATCAGCCAAACGTGCTTGTTGGCTGGTTATGGGCCAACATGGCTGGCAGAGTAAATGAATGTACAAACTACAGCTGACAATTCACCAACATATGGCTCTTCAATTCCCACACTGATAGTTCTCTTATCCAACACCTGTTAATGTGACAGTTCATTTTTGGTTATACTGGGGAGCATTTACAGAGTAACAAGTTAGAGGAGGTGCCTTTACTTTGCAGAGAAATGTGTTTGATGTACACCCATCAAAACATGCAACAGAAGCTCAATATATAGTCAGCAATTCTAATCCAATACACTTTTCTGTCAAATTCTGTGAACATGTCCCCACAGTCGACTAGCTGCCCATTCTGTGCACACTCAGTAAATGGAAAAAAAAAATCAGCAACAAAATGGCTTGGAACGAGCTACACAACAGTGTGGCGGCTGCTCTCCCTCTTTAATGTCCTCGCCTATGAAGCAGAGCCACACCATGACAGTAGTGAAAAGTAAATAACATTGGAAACAATACCATCACCTTTCAAAGGATCTCTGATGTGCAAGGTGTATTTGTTTGGCTGTTGAGTTCAAATATCAACCATCTTTCTCCAGAATCGCTGACTCCACCTTTAAGCATTGGTTACTTATTCTTGCAATTCGGCGTCATTGACAAAAGCTCCACCTTGTAAAAAAAAGGACACATTAACTCTGGCTTGCTTTTTTTTTTTTTAATCCCACAAGCAATGCATTAAAAAAAAATAAACTGGACAGCAGCACTCTGGTAGGTTAACACCAGGGATAAAAGCCAAAGAAAGGCCAAGAGGCTGCAGGATTTCATTCACACTAAGCCACATGCTGATGACACCTTCAACCTGTGTTTTGAAGTGGAAAGATTTTCAGCCTTGTTGTATAATGTGTTTCTAACTAAATCATCTTTGCCTGTCTAATCTACAGGTTAAAGGGCATCTCAGCTTCTTGAAAGGTGCACCTCTTCATCACTCCAGCAGTGTGGGAAATTACAACCTGCCATATGGGGATTTTGCAACTGTGTGTACACTCTACCAGCCACTTTGGCAGGTATCCAACCAGCCATCATTCCATTAAAAAGTAATTTGATAAAATTGCTAAAATGACATGAGAAATGTGGGAGTCAAAACGGCCACAGCTGCCAAAGAATGAGTTGTGCACTTACAACTTGTAAGTTACTTACAGAAGTAACTTACATGACTTCTGTAAGTTGTCATTTTGCTTCCAGCCCTGTTGGCAGGAGACTATCTGGCTTCCTACAAGACAAATACTGTCGTCGTGAAATGGTGGCTGAATTTATAGTGCTTACTAGTTCTATGTGACTAGCTGTTGTGCTGACTGTATTCAAGAAAATATCAAGACTAACTTAAAATCAGTAGGAGAGTGCAACATCCTCCTATATACAATATATATGGTTACACCACATGAAATATGGCAGCTTGACAGTTTAACATTCACAGAAAAGTCTGCCTTTGAAGCTCGATCAGTAAGGCAAAACGTCTCAACTAAGAGTTCAGTAAAATACAGACTTGTTCATTAGTTTTAATAAAAGAATTAAACAGGAAGTGAGGAACAAGCTGTGGGGTGCAGCATCATCCGTGGCTGGAATGACTGAAAACAGTTGGCTGGTCGGCTGCCACATTGGCTGGTAGGACATGTTCGGACAAAGTCTTTTCAAACAGACTCTAGCCCCTTTCTTGTCAAACTGTCCATGTTGGAGTGAAAAGTACAGTCGTCATTTGGCGTTTGAGAGTTTCAACTGAAGAACGACATTACGTAGAAAATAATGAGAACCCAGGTGGCACAAAGAGAACAGATACTGCAAGAGACGAATGGTTTCTGTCCATTCTTTTACTCCATTAATACCTCGGCTCACTTCGTTCCCTTCCAAAAGAAGTTCCCTCCAATGTATCCTGGCAGAGCAGGAAGGGAAGTTTATGCTCTCCGAGCCGCCTAAATGAGGATCATGAATGGGAGGAGAGACAAACTTGCCAGCCACAGCCAAATACTCAACTTGCTTCACACATGAACACACATGTTAAAGAGGTAGCTTGACAGCTTGCGTTGCATTCCTGTATTTCCAACACCAGGCACCTGTCACCAAATGTAGGGAACAAACTTTTATAGTCATCTCACTGTATTCAGTTCAATATTTAGCTTTTGACACCAAGGAGGAATACTAGCAGAACATAGACACCAGCTCCCATCAAGTGACATGTTCTTGGTGAGGGAAAACCATTTAGAGAAGAGGGACAAGTGTCAAAATACCTCTTTAAAATGTACATTGTCAGTCGAGATACAGGTGGGAGCATCTTTTGAGGAAAGGACGCCGTTTCCTCTCAGGGCAGGAAAACAAACATCTGTCAGCTACATTAGCAGTTGGACTTTCTCCACTTTCACTGCCAAAGTGGCTGCTAGAATCAATTACCAGTAATTAACAGTTCACCAGCAAATAGTTGATTTCCCGCCCTGCACCTCAACAATTCCTTTCTTTTTCGTCTTTGCACCCCCTGCCTCCTCTAGTCTTTTTTCTCCTCCTCTTTCTTCTCCTCCTCCTCTGTGGGGTAAGAGTGCCAGGTGAGGCGCTCCTCATAGAAAGAAATGACCACCTGGGGACACTTGACGTTGGCCTCCTTGGCTGGGACCAGGTCAGCCTCGTCTGAGTTCTTCCTGTTCATTTAAATCAAGATGAGGAGAGGGGAGAACAAAGGGAGGAGCAACATGCAAGAGACAGAAAGAAAAGTAGAGAGAGGGGGGAAAAGGAAAGACAAACAAGGCAGAGAAGGGTAAAGGGAGAAAAAACAAGAGAGAGAAAAGTGTTACACAATTTATTTCCTCCAACAATAAACACACACTGATGGGTTTTATTATGGCAAAGTCGTTCTCTTCGCCGTTCTTTTTTTTTTTCTATGCTAACATAGCTCCTGCTTTCCTACATAGCACGATTAGGTGTTGATGCCAACCGTGTCTCCTGCTTACAAACATTTGG